GTTGTTGGTTTTTTTTTGGGGGGGGGAGGGGGTAAAGTGGATCGGAATATTGAGAGAATGCCGACGGCGGGCCGGATAACTATTTGGCTATTTGGCTCAATACAAATACAATCTGAATGAATAAAACGTAAAGACAACCAACCTACTTTATCTGCTGTAATACACAAAAACAAACAATATTTGTGAAACTGGCGTCTAGCTTTCGAGATATCATCAATATTTGCTTTGTGTTCGATGCATCCAACCAAGAGAATTGCTTTCAAATATGTTCGTCAGTCAGCCTCGTTCGACGTAATGTAATGACTTCCAAAACTATTTCAAATCTGGAGGAAAAACGTAGTAATTATTAGAAGCGAAACTACAAAGGTGGAATCCCCGTGTGTGGTCGCACCGGGGGATGAACGTCTGATCATCCTCTCCAGTAGAAAATGCATTAAGTGGAATAGTAATTGTCACACAAGATCCGAGCAAGAGTGTGATACATTAGCTAAAAGTTATGAAGTCCATAAAAGCACGTTTAATTTGCACTGTAGAGTTAAATTAAATGATTAAATCATTTAAGTGACCAAGTCCTAAGCATGTTACAAACACACACACATTAATGTTTGTTTCCCGCATGGTGACATTATGGCGGCAGGCCGGACAAACAGACCTCCCTAGCCTTCTCGGACAATGGCGAAAAATCTCGGAGGGCCCGTGTGCAAGTTGCGCACGTTAAAGATCCCTTGGTGGTCTAAAATCGATAAGAGTAGGCTTCGGCCGCCACCCGGGTTCAAAATTCAAAATTTCCTACCAACTGAAAATAGGTGTGTCCCGCGCGCTCATATGACCTATGCAGTTGCGAGCGCCGTAAAACACTTTACAAAAACAAACAAAACAACCCAGTTGAGCAGTTGTACTGGGATTCAGTATAAGCACAGAGAAAGTAGGGGCAGCAGAAAAGACTTTGTCAGGTGGTAACTCAAATAAAAGCAAGAAGTTTCTATAATAGTCCCCCCCCCCCTTTTTTTCCTTTGTCTCTCCCAGAGATCTCACCTGCCAGTCATCATAGGCTCTTTTGGCATCCTGCAAGGAGGCTTGCTCTTAATACCAGCCGTGTTGCAGTTGGTACGGCCGTATACCTTGCCAGTCCTGTGAGTAATATTATAACAGCATCTTTTTATCTTTTTATAATCC